TCTCTAGATCCTGTCGAAATTCGTCGGGTGACGGATGATTTTCAACGAAGAATAACAGCCTGCATACATGCACGTGGAGGACACTTCGAAAATCTAGACTGAACACATGCGTACGAACAAAGGTGACGGCAAGGGGAACCACCTTAAAAAAGCACCCCGACGAGGTGTAAGTCCGACCTTGTGACCTCCACGTGGTACATCTTGGGTAACGCTGACACAGGCGGCATCGACTGTTCAAGATCTTGATAATTAGGAATCTTTAAAAATCGATGTACACGACTACAAATGAATCTAAAGGTAGAATTCAAATTCACCAGCAGATGGATGTATCATAGCTATGTAAATACCTAGTATTGTTTGAACTATTTTTTGTACAAACACATCCATATCTTTTAGAAGATTGATACGGGTGCTCTAAAAGTAACTTGACCTCCACATGACCTCTAAGGGTAATTTTGACCTAGGCTTGATAACGTATTCGGACGTAAAATTTTCCGCTATTTTCATTTGTGATGTCATGAATAAGGGTTTACATTTGTAAAACGGTACTTTGACCTTGAGTTATGCCCAAGGTCGACCTCAAGGTCAAATTCAAGGTCACCATCAGATAGATCTCCCGAAATCCTGCAAATTTTGTCTGAACCATTTTTTTGTACAAACACATCCCTACCTTTTAAAAGGGTGGTACGGGTGCTCTGAGACACCCGGTATATGATAGTATGTAATTATATGTGAGATATAATTATATGTGGCACTATGTATAATCATATAAGGAACATAAAACTGAGACGGCAAAATATCTGGAAAACTATAAGTTTTTATAAAAAAATGTTTTAGATAAAAGTTGTAGAGTTTAAAAAGGGCCTAGCCGGCTTCATCAATTTGACTTTGGGTGGCGTTACCAAGGTAAGACAAAATCTACTTGAATTTTTTAAGTGAAACTCCCCATTTTTTCTTCCATTTTCTTATAGTCCTTGTTAAGACCTTTTTAAAACACTATAATTTTATCTATTTTAGATCAACTGTCTAGAAGTTATTCGAGTATTTTATGATAGTAAGATGTCAGCGACTATAAGTGAACCGAACATGAAAACTGTTCATTTTTTTTGCGCTAAAATTTATATGTTTTGTTTAGCAAGTCGTATGCTCTAATATATGAGAAAACCACTTGATTTCACCGGGACTCAATTTTATATAGAATTAGTGTGGGATCCTTTGGAATCCTTACCAAATTATATGCCTTTTTAATCTACAATATTCAATATTGGAATCTGTGCAAAACCTTATATTGTGAATGGAAAAAAAGTTAAGAATATTAAGAGGAAAGCAGTCCATCAATTTTTTTGTATCCCGTAACAATTCATAACGCAGAGATGTGCTGTGATTATAACCATTCGCTTTTTTAATCTCAATAAATTGCCTAAATTTCTTAGTGTCAAAATATTATTTTTTATATTTATAGTTGCAAAATTTTAATTTAAAAAAGTTGTTATGTGACAAATGAGCAAAAAGATACATATATTGAGAAATCTTAAGTTTAAGATATAATACTGTTATTATACTGAAGAGAATCCAAAACAGGATCGAAACATACATGTTTGCGTTGATTTAATATAATAAAGAATATTTATATACATATATACAATTTGTGTTGGGATTCTTAAAAACTAAACTTCTACTACTTTTATTTATAACATACATAACATCATATAAAAAAATTATTTTTAAAGAAGAAAATATAATTAATAAGAAAAAAACGTAAATTAAATATATATTTAAATAATATTTTAAATATTTTTTTAAAATATCCTTAGTGAAAAATTTTACTGAAATTATTCTACGTTTTGGAACATTTAAGCTAAATCGCTGCAAAAATTTGTTAAAATTTCACTGAAAATTAATTTCAGTTAACATATTAAAAAATCACTGGAATTGAATTAAAATTTTTTTTGAAAAAAATTTTGCTGAAATTTCTCTAAAATTTTTGCTGAAATTTTTCTAAAAATTAAGCTTAAATTTTGCTGAAAATTAATTTCCAAAATGTTAAATAATTTCAGTGAAATTTTTCCAGCAGGGATATATTTAAATAATAACTAATAAACAAGTATTTAATATATTTAAATAATAATAATTTTGTTACGTAAACAAGAAATGTTTTCTTTATTGAACATTCTATTAATATTATTTCCATTAGATATATATTCTATACATAGATAATAATTGTATAAGAGAGAACATATACGAGAAAAAAATGAAAATCGCGCGAATATATAAAATGTTTCAGAATTCGCGGACACTGATTGCGCAACATAATTATATGTACCAAAAGAAGCAACTTTTTTCTCTGGCAAAATTGCATTCAAACTTTTTAAATGAAAGCAATTTTAAATTAACGAATGAGTGCTCCCCTATTGAAAATTCTTGTAAATTTTTTGTATCAGATCTTAAAAAAGTTGTATGTGATCAATCAAGATTACTAAATGAACGTACATAATTATATAAGAATCTCATATAATTTGTTCATGAATCTCATCAGTAATCTTTAATGACTTTAGGAATCTGGAATGAATCGTACACGACGATTTATATTGCAATGAAAAGATCTTGCTTTAGCCTTATCAGAAACTTTTAAAAAATAGTTTCTTTAAGGATCATCTAAGAATATGGTATTAATTATATATGATTCTGAAGTATTTTTTTCATAAAAGATCATTTATCAGTTTTAAAAGACATAGTTACGGAATAATTTATTTTCCAAATTGATATAAGAATCTGCATGAATTATACACGACGATTTATATAGCAATGAAAAGACTTCCTATTACGGCCTATGCTTAACATGCTACAACCGTGATAGCGCCAAACTAAATACGTAATTCATAGCATAAGCGAAAAAAAAATTACCCGTGTTTTTTCATTTTGTAAAATTGATTGTTTAAACAAATTGTTAAAAATGTCCATTTTTTTAAAACTAAAAGTACCATTCGATTCTACATTCGAAAAAAAGAAACTTTTATTATTAGTATTTTTTCGATCCGGTGCTTTGTTTATGCAAAAAATTGTTGTTATAAATGATTTGCATGCATAAAATCGGCTTCCGCTCATGCTCTGGATATTACATAAATACGAAAATTAACCACATGGTTCATAGCATAAACGAAAAAAAAATTATCGGTGTTTTTTTCGCTTATGCTATAAATCACATATTTAGTTTGACGCTATCACTGCTATTAGGCATGGGCCTTATAAGAAACACTTAAAAAACAATTTCTTTACAGGATCATCCAAGATTATAGTATTAATTATGTATGATTCCTAAGTGTTACATGAAAAATCATATATTAGTATTAAAAAAAAATATAGTTACGAAATAATTTATCTTTCAAGTTGGCGCATGAATCTAGCATGAATTGTACACGACGATTTATATCGCAAAAGATTTTAATTGCTAATTTAGTCTAATAAAATACTCTTAAGAAATAATTTTTTTATATGATCGCTCCAAAGTAATAAAGGTACCGATCATCTCAGTAAATGAAATGAAATTGATGAATGAACAGAAACTGGATTGAATATATGAAATAAAAAAAGAATTACGAAAAATTTAAAAATTTGTTAAAATACTGAAGATAACTGAATAGAAGATCGAAACGTATATTATCATTGTCTTAATGAATTGATAAATTATAATTTCGCTATAATAACTAGCGTAGGCTTTTTATGCTTTTTTCCTAAATTAAGTTTGATTTAGTCGAAAAGCCGTTATTCAATTGTGTAAAAAGATTTAATTTTTATAAATTCTTTTAAATCCCTTTCAAATCCTTATTTGTTATTCCCATTCCATTTTATTTACTGGGATATGAACAATAAATCACACAAAATTCTAATAGTATTTTTGTAATATTTTCATGACACTCCAGTTATATTCTTGCAAGATTCACGTTACATGCGCGCAAAATTCACGTAACCTGCGTGCAAGAATCATGTAACATGCGTGTAAGAGTCATGTAATATACTTCTAAGATTCATATATAACATGGGCGTAAAATTCATGTAAAATTCTTGATTTACCTATATATCATATGTATGTTCTTATATGATCTTATATGTTCCTGTCGGAAATTCGTATATGAAAATTGTTTTGGAAGATCTCACAAGAATTTTTCTTGTAAGAATTTGCAGCAGGGAATCCACGTTACGCGTAGATCAAAAGCGGCGCATACACACGGCGCGGCGCGGCGTATAAGCATGTTATTACGTTATTATCTTACTATTTTGCTAAAGATTTTATAAAAACTGTGCATGATATTTAAATATCACTATTTTGAATATAACTTATTTAAAAAGAGAATGTTTCCTAATTAATATCGCTGAAGAAACGATTGAAATTAAAATAAGTAGATATTAGACAATGAATAATTATGATATTTAGATATCATGCATAGTTTTTATATAAAATTTTTATATAAAATTTTTAGCAAAATAGTGATACATATTCATACGCAGAGTCGTGCCATGTGTGTGCGTGCCGCTCCTGTTCTATGCGTAACGTGGAACGCTCATTTGTTAACTTAAAATTGCTCTCGTTTTGCCAGAGAAAAAAGTTACTTCTTTTGGCACATACAATCACACTGTGCAATCCATATCCGAATTCTCAAACATCCTGTATAGTAAATGTAGACCACAGCGAAAAAAAAGAGAACATGAATAAGATGGTAAGTATAGAGAACCGTAAAGAGTGGGAGAGAGAACTGCACACTTCAATGAATGCAAAGCAAGACAATGGATTGGGAACAGAATGTGTGGGAGAGTGAAAGAATAAACTTCTTTTCGTAGATCCCTCGCCAAACGACGCACTTGCTCCCTCCCTTGCCCCTCGAACCATATCTGTGATGCATTTCCCCCTCCCATGACCTTCACACACATACATATCGCACATACATATACGCACTAATACATACATAATGGCTTAAAATCTTCATAGCTTATTTACTTAAATAATTAAACAAATTACATATTTTCTGAAACGAATGGATTAATGTAATAGCATTAATCTCTTACCGGGACCTTTAGCACCGCCTGATAGAAGACGTCCTAATCGAAATATGACAGCTCTTTCATACTCCTGTACAACCTGTAAGGTTAAAAAAAAGATGTATTATATAATTATAATTTACCATTTTACCCAATTATAATTTACAATTTTACTAAAATTTTATAAATTAAATACAACATAAGAATAAATAATATTTTGTTTAATTAGTTTAATATAATATTAATGTTATATAATTTTAATAATAACTATAAAATATAAATTATTATCAAAATATTAATTTTACAATAATAATTTTTAATCAAATTATTAATTTTTATTGAATGATTTTATCAAATTGATTCAATAAAAATTAAAATCGTTATACAATAACCAATGAATGGTACTGCGGCAGAAATTAATGCTTATTTTACTGTGTTTGTAAGTTTGAGATGGACTACACAACACACACACACACGTGCGCGCGCAAAATAAAGTGTTATGTCAAGAGACTAAACCCGTGTATATCTATGTATTTTGAGGCTATGAAATGGCGAATGTAACTTCAGAATTGCGCCAACAGATCAAGGTTTTTTCCAACCTCAAAAATTGCCAAACCTCTTACTAAAATTACACTATTTAGCCAAGAACCTTTCTTTAACTTGACATCAAAAATGTTATACAAATTTTTTTCACGTATTTTAAAGTGCTGAAGTTATAATAAATAAATTCTCAAACCCAAAATTCCAAACCCACAAAAGGGGAATAGGAGTTAACTTGAAAAAAGATTAAAAAGATTTATATGACAACTGTGTAGTTATAACAAATTTCTGGATGTTTACGTCATTAAGGGGATGCTGGAATATTCTGTTTTACCATTAATTATTAAACACTCTTTTCACTTAATTGTGTTTATGGATTGAAAAATCCTCCTCCACAATTAAACAACAACGCAATTCGCCTACAATTAAATACTAAAAATGAAAAAAAATTGAAGACTTACAGTTTTGTTGTCGGCTTCTGTAATCAACACGTCACAATATGTGCTGCATATAAGAGTTTCAGACCTTGCACGTTCAAAAAAAGCAGACGGCGAATTGCAAGAAATATGAAAGAACAATTCTATGCTTTTAGAAACGAGGTAGAGATTTTAGTATAAGAGAAAAGAATCTCTGAAAATTTCGTTTGTATATTATTAGTGAAATTGACGTGAAGCCATGAACCCAGTAGTATTTTAGTAGTATTTTAGATATTCCGACAGCGGCGCTGTCATGAAAAGTACGTCGCTGAATCATAGAAATGATCTGAATTATCGACTTACTCAGGCTCATATCAATAAACGTTCTTACGTGCCCTGATCAAAGTTTTTTCTTTTAAGAGAAAAAATAATAATAAAATAAATATGATATTAGTTATTTCAATTTTGTTGAAATAATTTCTTCATAAACAAGAAACGTACTATATTATTTACAAATGAAGAAAATTATTTTAATTGCACTGTTCTGTCTTTTACGTACATTTTATTTAGTAAATTATCAATGCATATATATAAAATAACATATATATGTATATATAAGGTGTAGTAAAAAGAAATCCATTATTTTTCCAATAGATGGCTTTAGTAATCTGTATCTCGCGTTGTATAAGTGCGATCGGGTTACGCTAGATGGCGTTAGAAAGATAAGATTTCGTACTAAAAAAACTTCTCAGACAGTTTTGTGATTGCTTGACTTAGTATTATTTGAGCGCGCGTCAAAGATGGACACCAGCAAAGAGAAAATATGCCATATTTTACAGTTTTTCTTCGATAAAGGCGAAAACGCAAGCCAGGCGGCTTGATGATGAAAATGTGAATAGTGTTTATGGTCCTGATACTGTAACAGCTAATCACGCGCAATTTTGGACGATTCCGTTCCGGTAATTTTGATGTCAAAGATGTATCACGCTCTGGAAGGCCAATTGTCGAAAATGTCGATAAAATAATGGAAATCGTCGAGTCCGACCGTCATGTAAGCATTGTTTCGATTGCCCAGGAGCTAAACATTGCACAAAAAACCATTTAGAACCACTTGAATAAGGCTGGATACAAAAAGATGCTCGATGTATGGGTGCCACACGAGTTAACGCAAAAAAATCTCATGGACTGAATTTCCATCTGCGAATCGCTGCTGAATCGCAACAAAATCAACCCATTTCTGAAGCGGATGGTGACGGGTGATGAAAAGTGGGTCACTTATGACAACGTCAAACGAACACGGTCGTGGTCGAATCGCGGTGAGCCGGCACAAACGGTGGCCAAGCCAGAATTGACGGTCAGGAAGGTTTTGCTGTGTGTTTGGTAAGATTGACAGGGAATCATCTACTATGAGCTGCTCCCCTATGGCCAAACTCTTAATTCGGATCTGTACTGTCAATAATTGGCCGTCTGAAGGAAGCAATCGTCCAGAAACGGCCAGCGTTGGTCAATAGGAGAGGAATTGTGTTCCATCAGGACAACGCAAGGCCACACACATCAATAGTGACTCGCCAGAAGCTCCGGGAGCTTGATTGGGAGGTTCTTATGTATCCACCTTATAGTCCGGATCTAACTTCAAGTGATTACCACCTGTTCCTGTCTATGGCGAATGATTTTGCAGGTGAAAAATTCGCCTTAAGAGAAGCTTGTGAAAATCGACTGTCCCAATTTTTTGCCAATAGGGACGAGGGTTGCTATGAGAGAGGCATAATGGAATTACTTTCAAAATGGCAACAAGTTATCGAACAAAACGGTGCATATTTGACCTAAATCGGATCATTCTATTTAACTATACTAAATAAAGCCTTCAATTTTATGCAAAAATAATGGATATCTTGTTACTACACCTTATATACAGGGCCCTACGCGCTCGGTGGACCGTACTTTCGGCAATAATAGGTCGGGAGGACGTGCTATCTTTAAACGTTAATATCTCGTTAATTATTGCGAGCATTACAAAATGGTAGAGGATTTTTCTTTTCCTCCCCTCACTCTCCCTCCCCCTCTCTAACCCTTTCT